CATGTATTTCAATGGACAATTCCATAACTTTTTGAAGGGTTACGAAAGTCTTTGCAAGCGTGTCAGTCGGCAACTCATAGAAAGCATTTTCTACAGCAACAATAAGCTCCTCGATGGTTCGAGTGCACTTTTGGTACTGTAGGCTTCGAATAGAATTAAAGAATCCTAAATCTAACACGTTGAAATCGGGGCTGTTCGGGGGTTGGTTAGCCACTCCAATGCCACAAACTCCATGTGCACAAAGCTTTTCTGGCTTGCATTGTCTTGTTGGATCAGCACATTACCCCGTCTGCCACATCTAGGAAACTTTTGATGAAACTGGGATGGCCACGACAGTCATGCAGCCCACGCTCGTGGTCAATAATGGGTCGGATAACTGTCCCAGCATAGTTTGATTATCAAAGATTTGCACATTTCCAGTGGACCACCCCAGCACAATAGTATGGTCGTGGACGATCAAGCATGTGACCACACACTGGGAACTGGCGGGGACAACCTTATTTAATATTGTATTAAAATAAAGTGGTGCGTCGACGTATTGTGGGGTGGTGACCATGGCGCCCTTCGGCCTGTTCTTGCTTCCACGCTGCGCTGGCGCCACTTGAACGAAGGGCCAAACACCACCGTTGCCGTCCCATTCCTTTTTGCCGTGTGGGTCATATCGCGGCCTGGCCACAGCGGCAAGGAACATCACCTTGGTGATAAAGCGCTTGGACTTGACCGCCCGAGCCGCGACCTCTTCGTCGTTGTACATATAGTACCTACGTTTAACCTTCATCAAGTAGAACCACTTTTCGTCAACATGCACATAGTCGTGCATGTCGTTGAAAAGATGGCGTCCACTTGGCAAAGGCCGAACGAAGGACATGGCAAACTTGAGTCGTTCTTCGATGTTCGCAGGGGTGAGATGGGGCTTGACGTAGTTTGACCGCGCCTTGAAGCGAGGATTCTTCTTCATGTGGCTAAAGATTGTCGTCATGGGGATTCCATACGCGGCCGACAGAGAGCGTAAGGTCTGCCGTTGCATTTGTAGAACGTTTCGGATGGCAGCTTCAATTTCGTCGCTTGTTCGGAGCGCATGGCGTCCAGAGTTCCCTTAAAAAGTACAACCTCATATATCAATAATTGCATAAAATTTATAAAAATATCTGGTTTGAGATAATTACCCTTAGTTTTTGAGGCGACATCGGCGGCACAGTGGCCGCCGCGGAGCGAGAGACGCACTTGCGTCCACAGACGTGATATCGTTCGCGGATGGCAGCTAAACATCTGTGCAAGCTCGGTGAGAGCCCCACGCGGCAGCACATCATCAACGGCGACGCTAAGCAGCGTTTCGTAGGCCGTGCGGCGATGGGCGAAGCTCAAGTGCTTGCGCACGTCCGCGAGGTCCCGGACGGCGACAGAAGCATCACCGGTTCGCCGTGGTGAACGAGGAGGCATGTAGTGGTGATATGTGTGCAGGAAGTGCTGCGTAGCCAATAAATTGTGCAATGAAGTTCTGGCGGGTCATTTTGTAATAGCTGACCATGACCCGAAGTTTTGCCGCGCAATATCTCAACAACCAAAATGGCTGGAAAGCGCTATAAACTACCCAATCAAAGCAGAGATCTTGCGCTTTCCAGAACGCCAGTCAGACACTCAATTGGAGTATTTTTTAGAAAAATGCCGCCAATCAAAAGTACAACATGACAAATTTTGTGGAACAGAGTGGTAATTGATGAGTGCTGTGGAGGTAGGCCAAGTGTGGGCATTAGGCGTAGAGGAAGGTGGAGGATGTGTCGTTGTGGTTGAAGTAGGCGGAATTGATGCCTTGGTAGTGGAGGGTTGACGATTGGGATTGGACAGGCGTTGTCGTTTCGCAGGCGGTGCTGATGTAGAGCGCCGAAGAAAGGCGGAAGAAGGATGAAAGGTTTGAGACGTGTTCCTTCCAGTAGATGGACGTAATGGAGAAGCGCGACGTCGGGGAGGCGATCAACGAGCACGACGGGTGGGTGACGAAAGGCGACGATAGGCAGACAGACGGTGGAGGAGGTTTGGGGCGGCTACGACTTAAGTGGGAGTGGTTGGTAGATGATGGGGTAAAAAGGCGTTGATGAGCTCGAGAGGAGCGGCCGGAGGAACGACCTCGCTGCGAGGAACGTGGAGGCGATCGACGAGTATAAGTTCGGGGAGAGGGTCGAGAGTCGTCACGATGGCGCTTGGGATAGCTGCTGTTGGGACCCTGATCGTTCCCATGGTTGTCGTCATAGTCCTCGCGGTCGCGGCGATTATGCTGCGTCGTATGATCGTCAATGATCTTGCGGGACGACGCGCGTTTCCGACGGCAGTGTATGTCAACAACGTGCTTAGGGTCGCCGGCACGAATGCGGTTTCGACTGTCATCGTCGCGCATGGTGTGGCAATCGGGAAGGCGGTGTTCAGGCGAGCCACAGTAGAAACAGGAATTGAAAGGATAGTTGTGACAGTTCGAGTGTGCCCAACGTGGCAGTGACTCGTAAGAAGGGGCAGCAGCAGCAGAATTGGTAGGCGGGGGTTGGGTAGTAGAAGGCGTAGCGTACAAGGCGGTTGGAGGCGTAGTGTAGGTAGCGACAACAGCAACTTGGCGTCGACGGGACTCGGAGTCACCGGAGCCTTGATCCGAGAGAATTAGATTGCGGCGAGAGGCGATGTTTAAGGTGTGGCGGATAGTAGCCTTGATGACAGTAGGCGTGCATTCGGAACCATCCTCGCGCGCTTTAAATTGGAGCTGGCAAACGGCGTGCCACACGTCTTTGTTGGCGGCAAAGGCGTTAGAGTAGAAGAGAGTTCGAAAGACCTCAAAAGTTTTCACATGACCTTCGCGAGCCGTGAGAGCGCCGGCGTTCCCAGGGAGACTTGCTGTTTCGATCTAGTTGATCTGATCGTCGAGAGTAGTGAAGAGAGTCTCGGCACTAATGTCCTCACTGTACTTGAGTTGAGTGAGACTCGCAAACAGGATCATGGGGTCGCGTGTGCCGGCTTCATGGCGCGCAGGTTTTGCATTGAAACTTACTACCTCTGTCTTATTATGAATACACATTTTGAAAATCGAATTTCCGAGAAAGAATGCACATTTTTGTATTCGGATAATTACACCTTATTCGTCCGTTAACTCTACAAGACCTAATGCCGCGGCGAGGTTATCGTCAGCGTCTGTATCGTCGACAATGTTTAGCGCCTCTTTCTGAGTGCAGAATGCACTCATTTCCATGCTCTCTAGGATTTCGAGTGACAGCTTATGCAGAATATCTGCACCATCTAAGTACGCACAACCAAAACTCGAAGCATCTCTATCACAAGAAAACATTTCTGGCAACTTGCCTCGAGAATGCAATACATCCTTTCGCATATGTGGGATCTTCTAGTCATTCCCACCCTTATTGAGAATGGCCTCTTGGAGGCATCTCTGCAGGGTGAGAAAGTTCTTGTTGAGTGTCTTGGTACTGACCACATCCCATGCAGCATCGGTGGCAGCCACAATCTCCTCAAGACTACTCGAGTGCTTTTCGGCCTGGAGGGCCTGAATGGCGCGGAAAAATCCGAGGTCCAGGACATTGAGGTCTGGTGAGTTAGGCGGTTGAAACACCACTTCCATGTCCCAGCCATCCGCATTGTATGCAGCGACGACATCAACATCACTTGGACGACGTGGGACCGGGCATTGTCTTGTTGGATCTTGACTACCTTGGTCTCACCGCGTGGCCACTTGGCGCGGATTGCACACTTTGTCCACCAGTATTGCCTTGTACGTCTCACGAGTTACGGAGACAGTCTTCATGACCGGTGTCCTAGCGTCACGACGACCGCTCCGGCGTTGGGCTGGAACGATTTCACTAAAGTGCCACGTCCCCAACTTGCCGTCAAACCACTCGCCACATGTCTCGTCCCATCGTGGGCGGGCAACATCCGTCAATAACATGACCTTGAGAAGGTGACGCTTGGACTTGCAAGACCGCTGCTTGATCTTCTCACCAATGGCTCCATGGACCTTCTTCTCGAGCCACTTTTCGTCTACGTGAACGGTGTCGTATATGTCGTCAAAGAACTTGGCGCCGTCGCGGTCACAGACATGGTCGAGCGCCCACTACAGGCGGCACACCTTATTGGACTCCGTTAGTGCAGGCTTGAGGACACTCGAGTACTTTGTAAAGACGCCTTGTTTGAAGTAGTCGTGCAGGTTCGATTTTGGCATCCCCAGGCTAACGAGCCTGGGGATGCACAGTAGCGCCGTGACTGAGGTATGGCTTGAATACGCTTGGGTAGGTCCTTGTGTAGGCGCTTTCGTCCACATGTGCTCTTCTTGAGCTGGCTGATGCTGCTACAGATGGTCTTGCTTCCTGAGAGGTTCACGGACCCACGACGCCATATGCGGCGAACAGTTGATGGTATGCAGTCGAACAACTGAGCCACTTCGTCCGCCACTCCCATGGGTATCTTGCCGGCTTTGGTGTACCGCAACAGCAGGTGTTAAACCATGCTGTTGCACTCACTGTCTGTGAGGTTCTTCTTCTTCTGCCTCTTGAGCATCTTTCAGAATGACTGGACAAAGTGAGCGGGGTTTGAATTCCAAAGCCCGCCAAGAGCTTGGCGCCAAAGTTTGCCGGGTATAGCCGGATACGAAGGTTATTATCCGGATAAACGGGGGTGGTAGCTTGCAATTTAGAAATGTAAGCATTATTATACAGGTACTTTGTATATTTTCTTTGAATTTTGTGTCTGGTTTCTAGATAATACAGCTGATAATATCTAATTCGGATACCCCACGCAGTCGGAGTAGAATGGACATAACTATTGAGTCCGTTACGATATTTGAGTTTTGAATAGTGATTCCAATAGACAAGACGCGCCTCTTTCTGTTCATAATCGAATCATCAGTTTAGGCGATGAACTTCAACAGGTAAATTTGTTACTTTCTAAGCATTTGTACTCACAATTTGATAACCAATTTAGGATAACTTTTTTTATCTTAAATTATGTATGTGTTTGAGCATTGAAATTTTGTGTTTAGGGTAAGCGGTTACAACAGGTTGCATATAATTTATACAAGGGTACTGTTTTATAGAGTTAAATTTCTGTTGTGGATGGATGTCCACCGAGTTTAACTCTCGACAAAACCTCAGATCCAACCCAATGTGGCCCGTGTCGACTAGGGAACTTCAAACCCAATCTTGAATGACTGTTACCGACGGCTTCTACGCCGTTTTTGCATTTCATTCACGTGACGGAATGGCCAGCATTATATGATAGAGGTTTTGACTCGAACAAATAACGAGGTGTGATTGGGCAATACAAAGTTATCCTAAATTGGTTATGTTATCTTAAATTGGTTTTTTACGTTAGCTGTATTTTACATGGGCGCTTGGATATTTGGCCATAGGGGTGGCGGCTGAGATGTATCTTGATTTTTGTATGTGACTCTTATCCGTATATAGTGTCCGGAGGCAGTTGGGGCCTTTAACCTCCCACAGCAGTGATAAAACGCATGAAATCAGTTTTAAACGCGTTTGGGTTTTGGTTTTAACTACTTTAATTGTACGTTAAATAATAAAACCTCCACCCTTCGATTTGGCCAGTTGGAAGTTTTTAGAAGACGTGCAACATACTATTAATAGTAACAGTACATACTATTAATAGTAACAGTACAGTAGTTGATTTGGTAAGTAGGAACTTTTAGTTCCTCCATAATCAAATATTTCTGATTATCGGAATGTGCAGGTGCCCGAGACACTTGAATACCTGTTATACTTAATAAATATTATGTATGGCAGAACCTGTTTGATGAACGAATAATTCCCTCATACCATGATTCCATTTTTACAGCCTAAGCTTAGTTCGTTTTACTGTACACCATAGGCAAATGCGTATGAGCACAAAACAATACTTAGTAATCGGGGTTAACTGTAAGTACATCTAGTGAATAAGATTGCTCATCACTGAGATGTAATTTAACCGCCAGAGAGGTTACTGTAACCCGGGAATAACGTTAGCATTGTGCTTCGTATGTAAACACAAAGTACTGGTTTATATAAAAGAGTAACACTACCGTTTCTATCAGGGAATTACTCGGTAACTAGCTGACGAAATGACCTGTGAAAGTTTTTGAAACATTTGAATTGGGACCAAACTTGAACGTTTCAGTAGAATTCCATTTATATAACATGAAGTTTGTGTGCATTAAACATCTCTGTAAGAAGTATTTCACTGCTAAACAGAATGCCATATATTTAGCGGAATGGAGCCTATGTATCCAATTTGACTTCTAAATTGAATTACCTTTGTAATACTATATTTGCCATTTATTTTAAATATCCAATAATTTGTTGAATCCATCAATTGACATGTCGCATAAGTTCCCACTAAACAAATCAACTACGGTACAGTAAACCAAAAACGTGCATTCATATTCAGACAGAGGTAGTACAGTAACAGTAAATTCTCATCGGAGGCTTCGAACTGTAAACAAATACCAATAGTAGTACTGTACTATACCTGATGTTTGCGGCAATACTGTGTGTACTAAACTACACCACTTCCCGTTCAAGTTGAAATGAATTTCCAGTCAATGTGAAATGAACACGTTCGAAACACGACGATTTTCAAATCAACATGAATTCTCTAACATTCAACTTGAAACATACTTTGTTTCATATATATTCTGGTGAATGATTTGAATAAAGGAGGAAGATGGGTGAGGGAGGGTAGACATGATGAGTGAATCACTATTGTATACTGAAGGGTAGTATAATTCATCACCTTATGGTCACTATACTATAGTTGAAGTAAGTTTAACGTTTCATTTTGAAGTGAACATTTTTCATGTTGAGACGTGAAACTGCACTTGTAAAATCTTATAATATTTCTGTATTTCACATTGACTGGAAATTCATTTCAATTTGAACGGGAAGTGGTGGCTGTAGTAATAATTAACTGTACTACTCTGGAAGAAAATATAAGGAAGTCTCAATATAATGGTGCATATTTTTCGCAAGAATGGACCAAACTGTACGGATTCGATACGAATACATATTATTTTAAGGACCGAAGTTACAGAATATTATAGCCAATAAGATTTGAATTTGTGAAAATCATTTTGTGATTGGCTAAAAGTTGAGATTTCCATCGAAGTTCGAAATTATTCAACCAATCATTTCCGATGAAATGGTAAATTCGAAGTAGCAAGTGTCCCTTAAAATCCGTCGCCCTGTAGACCAATCAACGCAAGGCGAATCCAATGCTACAATCTATTCGTGCAAAAAGTCAGCAGGTAGAGTGCTAACTAGAGTGCTGCCCACATACTTTATTCCATATTAAAATATCTGATTTCAGTAGTAGTACTATGTACTAGTAGTGACATTAAAAGTAGTTGGCAAAGAGTCGAGTTAATGCAATTTGGACAGAGGAAAGCATAAGCGAGTGTTGTGGGCATTAATATACTGTAATGCATTCTTCTTGATACTACATCGTACTCGACAACGTGGTTCCCTGTAGGAATTTTGTATAGCTGAACAGTTACGTCCGAAGTCGAGATGCACCACGCTAATTAACGCGGGTTTCAGCATGATGTCAAGAAGAATAAGTTTAGTACACACAGTATTGTCGCAGTATTTTATTTGGCCTAACTTGAAGCTTAGGGATGAGAAAATCTCTCGTTTGCAGAATTGCACACTTTATGCAAGATCACGTGCATGACCTAATCTTTTGCTCTAGGTTTACGATTTCACCACGTTGCCATGCATATTGTACACAGACAGTACACACAACAGCTGACCTGGTACACACAACAGCTGACCTGATACATATTTCCCAGCGTGAAACGCATGGTAAGTCACGTGCACGTGCTACACCCAGCTCGAGAGTCATTGGTCTCATTTTGCAATTTCCATTGACCAAACAACATAATGGTTCAGTACCAATTTATTGCCCTCGCCGCCACCGCCACCGCCATCACGGCCAAGATCTCGGTCCAACTACATCGCAACTTGGAAATCGCCAAGCAGTCGAATGTCGTGGTGAAATTTCACTGTGACGAGGCCCTCGCCACCCACCGCCGCCGACTCAAGGGCGGTGCGTCTCGCACCGAAACCATCGAGTCGCTGGTTAATTTGTTGAAGGAGCACACCACCAAGTCTCAGGCGTCGGTCAAGTCTCTCCTGGCCAACCAAGTTGAATCGACGGCTGTGGAAGTGGCCACGACATGGATCCAATGTTCCATGTACATCAACAACGCCCCCACCGACCTCGTCTACAAATTCTCGGCGTTGCCGGAAGTCAAATCCATTTACGAGCCAGTTACAATGACACTCGATGAAACCCAAAGCAATGACAAACCAGCAAGTGCTGTCAATGATGACATCGACTGGGGGGTCAAGAAGATCCAAGCGCCGGCGCTGTGGGCCAATGGCATCGAGGGCGACGGCATTGTCGTGGCCATCATCGACTCCGGTGTTCGCTATACCCATGAGTCGTTGGAGTCGAACTGGCGAAGTGAATACGGTTGGTTCAACCCGTACAACAAGACGAACCGGCTGCCCATCGACCCGGACGACCACGGCACTTCCGTCATGAGCACTATGGTGGGAACGAAAGGTATTGGTGTCGCCCCCAAAGCCAAGTGGATTGCGTGCAAAGGGTGCAAGTACGGGTGGTGCGTGGAACCCATGGTGGTGCAATGCGCTCAATTCCTGCTTTGTCCCCACGACAAAGACATCAACAAATGCGACGCCAGCAAGGCCCCTCATGTGATCAACGGCAGCTTTGGTTGGCACCGCAGGGACTTTTTTTTGGAAGATATGATTACAATGTGGAGAGAAGCGGGAATCATTCCCGTGTTTGCGATCGGCAACTACGGCCACCTAGGCTGTGGGAAATCAATTTATCCTGCCATGTCCCCTCAAGTGATTGCTGTCGGCTTCACTGACTCCAGCGATTTTTTGTCGGTGAATTCAAGTTTGGGACCTTCCGTCATGGACTATAAACTCGTCAAACCCGACATTTCTGCTCCTGGTTATGATATCCGTTCCGCAGCAAACTCCAGTGACGATGGTTACTTGTTGGGCTCTGGCTCGAGCATGGCCGCGCCTCAAGTGTCTGGAGCCATCGCCTTGTACTTGTCTGCCAACAAAGGCGCCTCGTACGACCAAGTGTACAAGGCCCTGACCGAGAATGTGGACACGGACACGTTAATTCCGCCCAACATAACCTGCGGTGGCATTTCCAACACGCAGTATCCCAACAACCTCTTTGGTCACGGCCGGTTGAACATCTTCAACGCCATGGCTGCTAGCATCCCCGGCCTGACTCTTCCCCCGCCATCCAAGTCCACCCAAGTCCTCAACCCGACCAATGACCTAAGCACGTGTGGCACCTTGGAAGACAACACGCACTATATTGGCGGCAACTTGGCCACGGCCAAACTAGCGACTGCTGAA